CATAAGAATACTCCAGAAAGAAGATTTGTACTCTTAGTTGTGTGATCTTCATCTAGCTTTCAAGTGTGATTCAATTTCTTCTATAGTGTAGCTTTGTGAGGGTTATTCGAGTGATTGTAAAACTTCCTTGCTTGATCAAGTGTATCTTGAGGTAAGGAGGAAGTGATCCTTCCCGTGTACACAAGAGATTGGTTGTATGTTGAATCAACTTGAAGGAGCTTACAATATAAAGGGATATTCAAACTCTAGTCGAGTTTGAGATTTGGTTTGCTATTCCATCTTCTTATTCACTGTTTTGCAACATTAACTGTTTATCTCTTCTGCTCTAAATTATCTCCGCTTTAACATAATTTGTTCCTTGGTCTGGTACTTTAGAAAAAAAGGGCTAGTTCAGAAAAAAAAAAAAGGTGATTTATATTTTGGCTAGCTTTTAAACCACCTAATTCATCCCCCTCTTAGGTTGTCTTCGATCCTTACAAGAGAATTATAGTTTGAAGAAAGAAAATGGAGGAGAAAGAAAAGGACGAAATTGGGGAGAAAAGCTAACATTTGTGAGTAAAGTCAGGCAACAGCGGAAGATCCAGGAGAAACAAAAGGACAAAATTGGGGACAAAATTACAAGCGAACCAAGAGAAAGAGCAGAATGGGAACAAAGCAACAAAAAAAGCAACGAGGACAAGCGGAAGCAGAAGCAAGGGCGCTACATGAAGCCCGCGAAAAGACTAAAAAGGACAAAATGAGCTGCAAAACCACAGCGAAACCGGCACAATCAACTGTTCATCAGGCTTCGCGGCTTTAAGTAGTTTAGATTTCTGCATCTCCCTGACCAAATACACCTACATTAGTGTTACTCGTTAATGGTTGATCCAATTTGATATATTCAAGTTATGGTTCTGGAGGATAATATCAACCACTTGACGTCCATCCATATCTATTATGGTTGTGCACGTCTATCCATATCTGTTATGGTCATGCACCACCAGTGTTTCACGTTCCCGAAGGCATCTCTCTATTTTAAGAGAGTTTGCGGCATATCAAGCTCTAGTAGGGTTCTTTGCTTTGTATCGAATTAAACCACACGCTCCACCGCTTGTGCGGGCCCATCAATTCCTTTGAATTTCATTCTTGTGAACATACTTTTCAGGCGGGGTACTTAACGTGTTATCTACAACATTACATAGGTTGATATGTACAGTACCTAATATCCATCATTTACAGTTAAGACTATAGGGATATCTAATCTACACAGTACCTAGTATCCATCGTTTATAGCTAGAACTACTTAGATATCTAATCCCTCCCATACTTACGACACGATTTAGTGGTGATTCTTTTGATACATCAATTTTGTAATTGCTAGAGTACTGCAGATTTAACAAATATTTGAACCACCCTTTTAGATTTTCTAGGTGTATAAAATGATTTTTGAGAACGCAATACTTTTGCGTGGTATGTTTGTTTACTATTATGAATGCATGGTTAGTTCTTACTTTTTTTCATGCCTTTTTAATTGCTTTATTTATCGAATCTTTTTTTTTTGATGTAGGTTTAATATTATACCAAGAAGATTGCATTTGGACGTCTAACCTTTCGACCATTGAAATGCACAATACAGGTGTAAATTCTTCTAATTTACATTAGTTCGTTCTTATTTATTTATTTTTAAAATTTTGCATTGATTAATTGATTATGGCGTGAAAATGGAAGCAAGATGGACTTGTATGGTAACGAATTTATCCTTCTCTTCTCCTCATTTTAACCCTATTTAATAGTTTTATATATTTTTAATTTATTAAAAGTATTAAATTTTTTCATAATCGTAAACCATATTGCACGAGTTAAAATCTAGTTAGCATGAAAAGCCCAATGACCTTGTGAATTGCGGCTGTGGATTGTGAAGCCCAATTATTCCACTTGTCGAGTGCGAGTGCAAGTGCAACGATGCAATTCAGATGTGAACGATGCGGTCAAACTGCAAGTATGGGGAGGAGGTAAGAGTCGATGGCACAAACTGCTTCTGCAGGGGCAGGGGGGTCGGTTTCATTTTTTTGACATTTTATTTTGCTGCTTCATTAAAAAAACAAATCCGTCTCCTACGAACTCTCCCGGCAGTTATATCGAACTCCGAATTCTGTTGTATGTAGGTTACAAATTTTTCTTTCCAAAAATATCCCTTGTCAACTAGTAAAATTTTTGCAATAGTAATGCATGATACAATTCGCGATTCTAATGCCAGACAAAGGCAAGTACCAGTAGTTTCGGTTTTCTAATGGAGGACAATACCAAGTACTGGTAGTTTCTTTCGGTTTCTAATAGAATGGAAGATGCAACATTTTGCTTCTTGTATTAATTGCCTATTTTGTCCGCATTAGTCTACGCTATCTAAAAGAATGTCAAAGTGCGACGAATGATTTCCTTTCGTGTTTCTTCCTTTGTAGATTCACCTAGTTTGCTCACAAAATTGATAAATATGAACTCTAAGATAATGGACAAACGTATCACATGTGTGTGGGTTGCTTGAGGGACTTTAATTTCTTGATTATATTAGAGAAATTACAATATTAATATAAGGGTATTTCAAGAAAATAGTATGTTAGATTTATTCTTCTAATAAAGTTTACTAATTTTTATTTTTCTTAAATTGCGTGAAAAAAATCAAGACTATCATAATGGGATGGATGGAGCAGTAAATTCTTTAATGTATTCATTTATAATATCTTGGTACCGGTTGCATTATAGAAATTAGAAACAGAAACAGAGTTGGCATTAATTCCAGGAGAAACTGTATTAAACTTATAATATCAAGTTTGTTTGGATTGTAAATTATTTGAGATATTTTTACTTAGCACTTTTTGTGATGTGATGTATGTGAGATAAAAAAGGTAATTGGGAAGATAACAAGCTGTATTGAAAATTATAATGGTGATGTAAGCAAATATAGTGGGGGAAATAACCCACTATCCAAACAAACTTTCCTGCAGGATAAATTGGATGTTTATGACTTTCATGGGTATTGTTTGCTGGTTAATTTCCCTACACTTCAATTCTGTTCGCTAAAAAGGCAGAAAGAAACATAACCATGAAAATAATACTAACCTCATTGAAGATGATGGATTAGTAGTGTAATTTTCTTGATTAAGAAAACCAGAAAGGAAAAAGAAAAACAAGAGAGAGAAGGCAGGATGTACGTTTTTTTTTAAAAAAAAAAAATAAAAAATTAAAGCAAGCACAAGAAGGAAACTTGGTGCAGAAGTTGCTCTGACGACACCAAAGGCCACGTGGCAATTACTCACAAAGATCCGACATTCACCCCATATTCGACTAAAACCCAAGATTGTGCAGCTCACATAGTCACGTCACGTCGTCCAAAATCGGAGATCCAATCTCCACCAATACTCGCACGGAATGTCCACGTGTCGGCTCTAAAATTGTCACTCGCTTCATAGCGCGTAACTCCTCTCACCAATGCTCCCAAAGTACCGTAATTAATTGTTGCGTAAAAGAGTATCAGCTCTAGTGCTCGTGCCAGGACTGTCCAGCCTCCATAACAGCGGCACGCCTTCCATTCTCCAGTTCTGCATGTTCATCAGTCATCACCTCACCTCAGAGACCTCTTCGTCTCTTTCTTTAGTTTGGTTATTTTACATTTTCCTTTTTCTTTTTCCTGTGAAATTTCAAAGGATAATCTGCTATTCTGATTTCGCGGTTTCTCCAGGTTGGGACTCGGAATTTGATCATTTTTCTGAAGTGTATATGATGTATGATGTTTTTTTCTTTCTTTGCCCTGTTTGTTGACATTTCTTCGTATTTTTTTGGGTTTGCTCTCTCTTCTAGCTTTCATTCTTCTCTGTTTGTAATCATCCTTTTTTTTTTTTGGGTCCAGTAATATGACGCTTGTTTATATTTTGGGTTTTTACTGTTTTTTTCCTCATCCATTTTTTTGGAGTTGCATCTCGTTGGATGGTTTTGATTGCAGAGTTCGTTAAATAGACCTTTTATATGCCTGTGCTCTGTAGTCTGTTTGGATTGTAATAATATATGCTGATAAAATGCAGCTTGTTCTGTTCTGGGTTGGGTATGAGGATCTGTAAACTGTCAAAAAAGATTGTGAGATTCCAGTGCCTGTTTCCATTGATGGTCTTCGAGACTTCGACCGTCGCATGTTTTTCTTGATTTCTTTTGACAATTTTTCTGCGGTACAAATGGGGGGATTTTCTGTCGCTACTTTGCTGTTCCCTGATGTTTTTGTCTTTTGTGCTTCAAAGATAGCAATAAAGTGCAGCTTGTTCTGTTCTGGGTTGGGTATGAGGATCTGTAAACTGTCAAAAAAGATTGTGAGATTCCAGTGCCTGTTTCCATTGATGGTCTTCGAGACTTCGACCGTCGCATGTTGTTCTTGATTTCTTTTGACAATTTTTCTGCGGTACAAATGGGATTTTCTGTCGCTACTTTGCTGTTCCCTGATGTTTTTGTCTTTTGTGCTTCAAAGATAGCACGTGATAATGTCGTGTGATATTTTATTTTCCGTTCTAAAATGAGACCGGAACACAGAGTATACGAGAGTCAAGGGTGGGAAAAGAGCCTACGCATATTTCTTGGTTCCCATTAAAAGAACCTTTTTTTTTTCTTTTTTCATTTCCTGGACGGTTAAATCTATTTTATGCTATTCCTTCTCAAGCTCTGTAGGTATGTAGGGCCAAGAACTGGATTCCAACATATTTTCTTGTTTTCAGGGCCTTAGCCTACATGTTTGAAATGGTGCTTTGTTCTGAGTGTCAATTTTCATAGTTTAGAACTAGTATGGAATACAGATCATTTTGGCTAATTTAAGAGATAAGTTGCGTATATTTGTAGAAGAAAGAGTCAAAACAGGGATCATGAACGTCCTAGCTATTTAGTTTTTTGCACATCTAGTCACTCCCCGTTATCTAAAATGCTTTAGTCTTCTGGTAATAGTTCTTGCTAACATGGTGTCTCATTTAATTCAGGTTGTTTGAAACATGTCCTTTTCGGAAGAGGAAACTGATTTAAGTGAATCAGAAGTTGAAGACTACAGCATTCAATGGTACGCGAAACTTAAAGATGGTCATGAAAAACTTGAAGTTTCAGGTGAAGAGTATAGCTGCCCATTCTGTCCTGGGAAAGTCCACAAGTACAGCTTGAAGGACCTATACCAGCATGCTTCAGGAGTTTCCAAGGGTTCAACAAAAAGAAAAATGAAAGATAGGGGACAACATCTTGGATTGGTGAGGTACATCGACAGTGATGTTGACATAAAGAAACCATTAGGTGAATCAATCAAGAAGAAGGCTGATGATCCTACCGCAAGTGCTGGTCCAAGTGAAAAATTTGTGCATCCTTGGATGGGAATTGTTGCTAATATTCCCAGGAAGAAGAGAGATGGACGTTATGTTGGAGATAGTGGCTCAAAGCTTAGGGATGATTTCACTTTAAAAGGGTTTAATCCACTCAAGGTGCAACCACTGTGGAACAGGACGGGATTTTCAGGGTATGCAATAATAGAGTTCAATAAGGACTGGCCAGGATTCTGTAATGCAATGGCTTTTGAAAAGAGTTTTGAAGCTGAACATCATGGGAAAAGGGATTACCATGAAGCATGTGATAGGGGTGCAACGTTGTATGGGTGGATTGCTCGCGCTGATGATTATGACTCATCAACAATAATTGGAGAACACCTTAGAAAGAAGGCAGATCTGAAGACTATTGCTGATGTTCAAGAAGAAGAGAAGCAAAGAACCTCAATGCTTGTTTCCCATCTTGCCAATGAAATTGAAGTTAAGGACGAGCATATTAAGGATACTGAGATTAAATACAATGAAACTATTCAAAGTATAAGCAATTTGATGACTCAAAAGGATGAGATGCACCGATTGTATAACGAGGGTATGAGCTCACAGTATCATAACGAAAATTGCGACAACTTTTTCTTCTTGATGATTTGATGTTGTATTCTTGGTTTTATTCTTTATTCTAGCTACAAATTTTGCATTCATTTCCTTCACTTTCTTCCATTGACGTTAATCAGAGTTGCAGAAGACACAGGAGGCTGCGCGTGTTCAGCTTGAAAAGATATTTTCAGAGCACGAGGAGAGTGCATTACGGCTAGAAGTACAAAAGCAAAAGCTGATTGAGCGAGAGAAAGAGTTGGAGAATCTGGAGGCTTACAATGAAAGACAAAAGCTTGAGCTAGAGAAGCAAATGGTACCAAGTTGAACATTTTATTATTCTTCTCTGCCAACAAATCATAAATGTAGGGTATTCAATATGGTAGAAAAGGGGTTAAGCCTTAATTAGGTGATTCGAGTCTGGACTTGTTACAGCCCAATTCGGATGGTGGATTGACAGCCTTAAATAAATAAATGTGTTGTATAAAAGGGCTAATACTACTTTCACATGATTCAGAATATGAAAAATGATCAAAGGTTGGTGAATCAAAGTAATAAGGTTGCATAGTATCAACGTCAAATATCTCAGTTTTAGTGACTTGCTCAGCAATTTGTTGTTTTTACAGAATGCAAAAGCCACCTTGGAGCAAAAGAAAGCTGATGAAAATCTTTTGAAGTTGGCTGAAGAGCAGAAGGTACAACCATATATATATATATATATATATATATATTTGGAGGGGGGGGAGGGTACTATGACCTTTGCGTCTCAATGACGTAAATTACAAACTCGCAGAGAGAAAAAGAAAAACTGCACTTGCAAATTATTGAATTGGAGAAGAAACTTGATGCAAAGCAAGCATTGGAATTGGAGCTAGAACGTCTAAGAGGGGCTGTGCAAGTAATGGAACACATTAGAACTGGTGGAGACGAGGAAGTAGATGACAAGTTGGTAGCAATCCAAGTTGAGCTAGAAAAGAGAGAAAAAGAACTGGAAGATCTAGAAGTGCGTAATCGAGCTCTCATTGTCAAGGAGCGTAAAAGCAATGATGAATTACAGGAGTCTCGGAAAGAGTTAATAAACGTAAGAATTGCATTACATTTCTTAACTGGATCTCTAGTTGTCTTTACCGCAATCTGCTACTCCTATGCGTTTAAGTGTTTGCTTGTGCCATCAGTTGTCCTACTAATGAATATATATGGGGCTACTTAATGAATATATATTCTGATTGTCCTGCAGTGCTGGATGGAGAAGGCTTCTCGGACTTCAATTGGTGTGAAGAGAATGGGTGAAATGGATGATGTCCCGTTCAAAAATGCAGCTAAAAGAATGTTTCGAGGGAAGGAAATTGACGTGAAATCTGCTGAGCTGCGTTCAGAATGGGAGGATCACCTTCGAGATCCCAACTGGCATCCTTTTAAGATCGTGAAGACTGATGATAGTAAAGGTCATAAGGTAAAGATCTGACTTCAGCAATTAAGGTTTCTTATAGTACAATGGTACAGATTGATTTCTTAATTTACGGTAACTCTCGATTATGTTGTTGTGGCCATGTTGGCATGATATGACTTGGCTGATGAGTAGTGCAGATTGCATTGCTCCTTGAGAGATTGATATCCGTCATTCTTTCTTGCCCTTTTGACTGAGATTTTGTGCACACCTAACTCTCAAATGTGGCTTTGCAGGAAGTAATAGATGCTGAGGATGAGAAACTGAAAAAGCTGAAGAACGAATTTGGAAATGAAGTTTATGAAGCTGTGACAACAGCTTTGATGGAGCTGAATGAGTACAACCCCGGTGGCAGGTGTGTTATACCTGAGCTATGGAACTACAGCCAAAAAAGGAGAGCAACACTGAAGGAAGGAGTAGCATACATAATCGAGCAGTGGAAATGCCTCGAATGGAAAACCAAAGATCACTAAAGGTGAACCTTCTTACTCTCTACCTGTAATCAAGGGAATTCAAGACATCTCTGCTACTGACATTTTTTTTCTTTATTTTAAGAGCAAATTGTGTTTTGGAAGTATATGCACCGATTAATCAGCTATCATGAAACCGATTTATGGTTACAAATCCATATTCCTGTCAACTTCGTGTTTAATAGCTATCCATTTTGAATTATTTCACACTTGCTATGCTAATCGTGGTACGTGCATTATTCAGGTCCATGGCCTATCCATCTTCTTGATGATGTCACTGTGGTGAATCATCCGTTATATTGATCATATGCTGTAGCCGGCTCTTGACTTTAGCCCCCTGTTGGATCAGTGATGTCTTTATGTAGTGTGACAGTTTGCAACTGATGAGACTACATAGAGTCAGTTTTGTTGTTTGGCTGATGAAACTTAGTAGTAATCTTCTTTAGGATAGTTCGACTATGATGTATGGTTTTATTTCAGTCCAAGGGACAACAACTTCTGCAGTGAGTGGTTCTGAATCCAAAGTCCGCAACTGACTTTATTTCTGATGAGATTGGTAATCACATTGGATGACTATTGCCTTGGCCTCCAGACGTAACTTTTATATCCAATGCCCCCAATTTCGATTCTTACCTTTTTCAATCTTTTGGAATGGGAATCCAAAGTCTTTTTTTTTTTTTTGGTCTCACAATGGGTCCGACTCCACGAAGAATCATCATCCATGTAGAATCTCAGGGAGCGCCTCATGCCTCATGTGATCGAAGAATGCTACGAGTGACTATGAGACCCACTCACGAAATGAAAGTTATGAAACCCATTTAGGTCGTGGCGTGGGATCAAGTGATCCATTATCGTCGTGTATTTGTGCGAATAATGCACTGGAATTCGCTGAAATTGTTAGGAATTATACACATATCGATGTTCCGATAAGCGGAGGAAACGCTTTTCAGTTGTGAGAAAGTGCGTGCAAATTGTCCTTCTATTCCAAATCCTTCCTCTGTTTCCTCATCTTGTTGCACGGCCAATCCTTCCTCTGTGAGCGAATCATGGTGTAACGTAAATGACTATTTATTTGATGGCAAACACATTTATAAAATGGCACTAGCATTATAAGTTCTCGATAAATTCATGCATTTGAGTGTTCAATTGCTATTTATTCAGATTTAAGATTTGACAGAAATAGGATTAACTCGTAAGAGTCGGAAAAAATGAATGAATGGCTGATGTAGTGGTTCGATCAAATCTCATAATAGCAAACAACCATAGAAAATTCAACATGAATATTACCTCAATTGCCTCATTAGAAGTACCAGAAATACAATAACCAAGCAGGATCAACTCACCAGAATAGAAGTGATAGTTCATACAATTCCACTACTACTACAACTACTAGCAAAAGCACTAGTAGTAATTTCAAAAGCTGCGGGCTACACGTCTTGTGCAGCCGCCTCAGCTCCTCACTCTCTCTTTCTTCTTCTTCTACTATTACTACACTCCCCGCACTTTACTTTTACACCTTTCCTCACAATGCCCAATGACCAACCATCCCCACTCCTACGAATCCCAAATTGTTATAATAAAGTCAATCAAAAAAAAAAAAAAAAACGCTGCCAATAAGATTAACGGCAAGTGTCTTTGGATAGCCAAATAATGGCCAAAATTTATTTGCTTACATCACAAATATAATTTCCAACACACCTTTTTATCTTTTCAATACCCTTTTTATTTCACATACATCGCATCACATCACAAAAAGGTGCTATAATAATTATTCCAAATAATATTTCAAATAATCTCCTATCCAAACACACTGATGTTTTCAGAACCGGACCAGGTATCGACCATTTTATGCTTGTGACCTAGAAAATAAATTTATTAAAACTTTACCATTTTATTATATTCATAGGTATTAATATATGGAAATTGTGATGTATAGATAAGTGCAATTCTATATATAACTCGAAAGATTTGTTGTTATTGTCATCCAAACTTTCTAATCTTTCACAAATTCAAAAATGATTCAAAATTTATAATATGACAAATCATTCTTACATATTTTATAAGGTCATATGCAAAAAAAAAAAAAAAAAGTTTTCATAGTATATTTAAAATGCTTAAAACATATAGCATTTATAAATGATACGTACAATTGTGTATCATACATTTACATTACTTTTAATTACTAACTATAATACTAAGTTTCAATCATTAATAAAAAAAAATCTTAGCTTTATTTAGAGTTAGAGATGGTACGCAAGTAAACTTGTCCACAACTTGATCACAAGTTGTGGACAAGTTTACTTGCGTACCATCTCTAACTCTAAATAAAGCTAAGATTTTTTTTTATTAATGATTGAAACTTAGTATTATAGTTAGTAATTAAAAGTAATGTAAATGTATGATACACAATTGTACGTATCATTTATAAATGCTATATGTTTTAAGCATTTTAAATATACTATGAAAACTTTTTTTTTTTTTTTTTGCATATGACCTTATAAAATATGTAAGAATGATTTGTCATATTATAAATTTTGAATCATTTTTGAATTTGTGAAAGATTAGAAAGTTTGGATGACAATAACAACAAATCTTTCGAGTTATATATAGAATTGCACTTATCTATACATCACAATTTCCATATATTAATACCTATGAATATAATAAAATGGTAAAGTTTTAATAAATTTATTTTCTAGGTCACAAGCATAAAATGGTCGATACCCGGTCCGGTTCTGAAAACATCAGTGTGTTTGGATAGGAGATTATTTGAAATATTATTTGGAATAATTATTATAGCACCTTTTTGTGATGTGATGCGATGTATGTGAAATAAAAAGGGTATTGAAAAGATAAAAAGGTGTGTTGGAAATTATATTTGTGATGTAAGCAAATAAATTTTGGCCATTATTTGGCTATCCAAAGACACTTGCCGTTAATCTTATTGGCAGCGTTTTTTTTTTTTTTTTTGATTGACTTTATTATAACAATTTGGGATTCGTAGGAGTGGGGATGGTTGGTCATTGGGCATTGTGAGGAAAGGTGTAAAAGTAAAGTGCGGGGAGTGTAGTAATAGTAGAAGAAGAAGAAAGAGAGAGTGAGGAGCTGAGGCGGCTGCACAAGACGTGTAGCCCGCAGCTTTTGAAATTACTACTAGTGCTTTTGCTAGTAGTTGTAGTAGTAGTGGAATTGTATGAACTATCACTTCTATTCTGGTGAGTTGATCCTGCTTGGTTATTGTATTTCTGGTACTTCTAATGAGGCAATTGAGGTAATATTCATGTTGAATTTTCTATGGTTGTTTGCTATTATGAGATTTGATCGAACCACTACATCAGCCATTCATTCATTTTTTCCGACTCTTACGAGTTAATCCTATTTCTGTCAAATCTTAAATCTGAATAAATAGCAATTGAACACTCAAATGCATGAATTTATCGAGAACTTATAATGCTAGTGCCATTTTATAAATGTGTTTGCCATCAAATAAATAGTCATTTACGTTACACCATGATTCGCTCACAGAGGAAGGATTGGCCGTGCAACAAGATGAGGAAACAGAGGAAGGATTTGGAATAGAAGGACAATTTGCACGCACTTTCTCACAACTGAAAAGCGTTTCCTCCGCTTATCGGAACATCGATATGTGTATAATTCCTAACAATTTCAGCGAATTCCAGTGCATTATTCGCACAAATACACGACGATAATGGATCACTTGATCCCACGCCACGACCTAAATGGGTTTCATAACTTTCATTTCGTGAGTGGGTCTCATAGTCACTCGTAGCATTCTTCGATCACATGAGGCATGAGGCGCTCCCTGAGATTCTACATGGATGATGATTCTTCGTGGAGTCGGACCCATTGTGAGACCAAAAAAAAAAAAAAGACTTTGGATTCCCATTCCAAAAGATTGAAAAAGGTAAGAATCGAAATTGGGGGCATTGGATATAAAAGTTACGTCTGGAGGCCAAGGCAATAGTCATCCAATGTGATTACCAATCTCATCAGAAATAAAGTCAGTTGCGGACTTTGGATTCAGAACCACTCACTGCAGAAGTTGTTGTCCCTTGGACTGAAATAAAACCATACATCATAGTCGAACTATCCTAAAGAAGATTACTACTAAGTTTCATCAGCCAAACAACAAAACTGACTCTATGTAGTCTCATCAGTTGCAAACTGTCACACTACATAAAGACATCACTGATCCAACAGGGGGCTAAAGTCAAGAGCCGGCTACAGCATATGATCAATATAACGGATGATTCACCACAGTGACATCATCAAGAAGATGGATAGGCCATGGACCTGAATAATGCACGTACCACGATTAGCATAGCAAGTGTGAAATAATTCAAAATGGATAGCTATTAAACACGAAGTTGACAGGAATATGGATTTGTAACCATAAATCGGTTTCATGATAGCTGATTAATCGGTGCATATACTTCCAAAACACAATTTGCTCTTAAAATAAAGAAAAAAAATGTCAGTAGCAGAGATGTCTTGAATTCCCTTGATTACAGGTAGAGAGTAAGAAGGTTCACCTTTAGTGATCTTTGGTTTTCCATTCGAGGCATTTCCACTGCTCGATTATGTATGCTACTCCTTCCTTCAGTGTTGCTCTCCTTTTTTGGCTGTAGTTCCATAGCTCAGGTATAACACACCTGCCACCGGGGTTGTACTCATTCAGCTCCATCAAAGCTGTTGTCACAGCTTCATAAACTTCATTTCCAAATTCGTTCTTCAGCTTTTTCAGTTTCTCATCCTCAGCATCTATTACTTCCTGCAAAGCCACATTTGAGAGTTAGGTGTGCACAAAATCTCAGTCAAAAGGGCAAGAAAGAATGACGGATATCAATCTCTCAAGGAGCAATGCAATCTGCACTACTCATCAGCCAAGTCATATCATGCCAACATGGCCACAACAACATAATCGAGAGTTACCGTAAATTAAGAAATCAATCTGTACCATTGTACTATAAGAAACCTTAATTGCTGAAGTCAGATCTTTACCTTATGACCTTTACTATCATCAGTCTTCACGATCTTAAAAGGATGCCAGTTGGGATCTCGAAGGTGATCCTCCCATTCTGAACGCAGCTCAGCAGATTTCACGTCAATTTCCTTCCCTCGAAACATTCTTTTAGCTGCATTTTTGAACGGGACATCATCCATTTCACCCATTCTCTTCACACCAATTGAAGTCCGAGAAGCCTTCTCCATCCAGCACTGCAGGACAATCAGAATATATATTCATTAAGTAGCCCCATATATATTCATTAGTAGGACAACTGATGGCACAAGCAAACACTTAAACGCATAGGAGTAGCAGATTGTGGTAAAGACAACTAGAGATCCAGTTAAGAAATGTAATGCAATTCTTACGTTTATTAACTCTTTCCGAGACTCCTGTAATTCATCATTGCTTTTACGCTCCTTGACAATGAGAGCTCGATTACGCACTTCTAGATCTTCCAGTTCTTTTTCTCTCTTTTCTAGCTCAACTTGGATTGCTACCAACTTGTCATCTACTTCCTCGTCTCCACCAGTTCTAATGTGTTCCATTACTTGCACAGCCCCTCTTAGACGTTCTAGCTCCAATTCCAATGCTTGCTTTGCATCAAGTTTCTTCTCCAATTCAATAATTTGCAAGTGCAGTTTTTCTTTTTCTCTCTGCGAGTTTGTAATTTACGTCATTGAGACGCAAAGGTCATAGTACCCTCCCCCCCCTCCAAATATATATATATATATATATATATATATGGTTGTACCTTCTGCTCTTCAGCCAACTTCAAAAGATTTTCATCAGCTTTCTTTTGCTCCAAGGTGGCTTTTGCATTCTGTAAAAACAACAAATTGCTGAGCAAGTCACTAAAACTGAGATATTTGACGTTGATACTATGCAATCTTATTACTTTGATTCACCAACCTTTGATCATTTTTCATATTCTGAATCATGTGAAAGTAGTATTAGCCCTTTTATACAACACATTTATTTATTTAAGGCTGTCAATCCACCATCCGAATTGGGCTGTAACAAGTCCAGACTCGAATCACCTAATTAAGGCTTAACCCCTTTTCTACCATATTGAATACCCTACATTTATGATTTGTTGGCAGAGAAGAATAATAAAATGTTCAACTTGGTACCATTTGCTTCTCTAGCTCAAGCTTTTGTCTTTCATTGTAAGCCTCCAGATTCTCCAACTCTTTCTCTCGCTCAATCAGCTTTTGCTTTTGTACTTCTAGCCGTAATGCACTCTCCTCGTGCTCTGAAAATATCTTTTCAAGCTGAACACGCGCAGCCTCCTGTGTCTTCTGCAACTCTGATTAACGTCAATGGAAGAAAGTGAAGGAAATGAATGCAAAATTTGTAGCTAGAATAAAGAATAAAACCAAGAATACAACATCAAATCATCAAGAAGAAAAAGTTGTCGCAATTTTCGTTATGATACTGTGAGCTCATACCCTCGTTATACAATCGGTGCATCTCATCCTTTTGAGTCATCAAATTGCTTATACTTTGAATAGTTTCATTGTATTTAATCTCAGTATCCTTAATATGCTCGTCCTTAACTTCAATTTCATTGGCAAGATGGGAAACAAGCATTGAGGTTCTTTGCTTCTCTTCTTCTTGAACATCAGCAATAGTCTTCAGATCTGCCTTCTTTCTAAGGTGTTCTCCAATTATTGTTGATGAGTCATAATCATCAGCGCGAGCAATCCACCCATACAACGTTGCACCCCTATCACATGCTTCATGGTAATCCCTTTTCCCATGATGTTCAGCTTCAAAACTCTTTTCAAAAGCCATTGCATTACAGAATCCTGGCCAGTCCTTATTGAACTCTATTATTGCATACCCTGAAAATCCTGTCCTGTTCCACAGTGGTTGCACCTTGAGTGGATTAAACCCTTTTAAAGTGAAATCATCCCTAAGCTTTGAGCCACTATCTCCAACATAACGTCCATCTCTCTTCTTCCTGGGAATATTAGCAACAATTCCCATCCAAGGATGCACAAATTTTTCACTTGGACCAGCACTTGCGGTAGGATCATCAGCCTTCTTCTTGATTGATTCACCTAATGGTTTCTTTATGTCAACATCACTGTCGATGTACCTCACCAATCCAAGATGTTGTCCCCTATCTTTCATTTTTCTTTTTGTTGAACCCTTGGAAACTCCTGAAGCATGCTGGTATAGGTCCTTCAAGTTGTACTTGTGGACTTTCCCAGGACAGAATGGGCAGCTATACTCTTCACCTGAAACTTCAAGTTTTTCATGACCATCTTTAAGTTTCGCGTACCATTGAATGCTGTAGTCTTCAACTTCTGATTCACTTAAATCAGTTTCCTCTTCCGAAAAGGACATGTTTCAAACAACCTGAATTAAATGAGACACCATGTTAGCAAGAACTATTACCAGAAGACTAAAGCATTTTAGATAACGGGGAGTGACTAGATGTGCAAAAAACTAAATAGCTAGGACGTTCATGATCCCTGTTTTGACTCTTTCTTCTACAAATATACGCAACTTATCTCTTAAATTAGCCAAAATGATCTGTATTCCATACTAGTTCTAAACTATGAAAATTGACACTCAGAACAAAGCACCATTTCAAACATGTAGGCTAAGGCCCTAAAAACAAGAAAATATGTTGGAATCCAGTTCTTGGCCCTACATACCTACAGAGCTTGAGAAGGAATAGCATAAAATAGATTTAACCGTCCAGGAAATGAAAAAAGAAAAAAAAAAGGTTCTTTTAATGGGAACCAAGAAATATGCGTAGGCTCTTTTCCCACCCTTGACTCTCGTATACTCTGTGTTCCGGTCTCATTTTAGAACGGAAAATAAAATATCACACGACATTATCACGTGCTATCTTTGAAGCACAAAAGACAAAAACATCAGGGAACAGCAAAGTAGCGACAGAAAATCCCATTTGTACCGCAGAAAAATTGTCAAAAGAAATCAAGAACAACATGCGACGGTCGAAGTCTCGAAGACCATCAATGGAAACAGGCACTGGAATCTCACAATCTTTTTTGACAGTTTACAGATCCTCATACCCAACCCAGAACAGAACAAGCTGCACTTTATTGCTATCTTTGAAGCACAAAAGACAAAAACATCAGGGAACAGCAAAGTAGCGACAGAAAATCCCCCCATTTGTACCGCAGAAAAATTGTCAAAAGAAATCAAGAAAAACATGCGACGGTCGAAGTCTCGAAGACCATCAATGGAAACAGGCACTGGAATCTCACAATCTTTTTTGACAGTTTACAGATCCTCATACCCAACCCAGAACAGAACAAGCTGCATTTTATCAGCATATATTATTACAATCCAAACAGACTACAGAGCACAGGCATATAAAAGGTCTATTTAACGAACTCTGCAATCAAAACCATCCAACGAGATGCAACTCCAAAAAAATGGATGAGGAAAAAAACAGTAAAAACCCAAAATATAAACAAGCGTCATATTACTGGACCCAAAAAAAAAAAAGGATGATTACAAACAGAGAAGAATGAAAGCTAGAAGAGAGAGCAAACCCAAAAAAATACGAAGAAATGTCAACAAACAGGGCAAAGAAAGAAAAAAACATCATACATCATATACACTTCAGAAAAATGATCAAATTCCGAGTCCCAACCTGGAGAAACCGCGAAATCAGAATAGCAGATTATCCTTTGAAATTTCACAGGAAAAAGAAAAAGGAAAATGTAAAATAACCAAACTAAAGAAAGAGACGAAGAGGTCTCTGAGGTGAGGTGATGACTGATGAACATGCAGAACTGGAGAATGGAAGGCGTGCCGCTGTTATGGAGGCTGGACAGTCCTGGCACGAGCACTAGAGCTGATACTCTTTTACGCAACAATTAATTACGGTACTTTGGGAGCATTGGTGAGAGGAGTTACGCGCTATGAAGCGAGTGACAATTTTAGAGCCGACACGTGGACATTCCGTGCGAGTATTGGTGGAGATTGGATCTCCGATTTTGGACGACGTGACGTGACTATGTGAGCTGCACAATCTTGGGTTTTAGTCGAATATGGGGTGAATGTCGGATCTTTGTGAGTAATTGCCACGTGGCCTTTGGTGTCGTCAGAGCAACTTCTGCACCAAGTTTCCTTCTTGTGCTTGCTTTAATTTTTTATTTTTTTTTTTTAAAAAAAAACGTACATCCTGCCTTCTCTCTCTTGTTTTTCTTTTTCCTTTCTGGTTTTCTTAATCAAGAAAATTACACTACTAATCCATCATCTTCAATGAGGTTAGTATTATTTTCATGGTTATGTTTCTTTCTGCCTTTTTAGCGAACAGAATTGAAGTGTAGGGAAATTAACCAGCAAACAATACCCATGAAAGTCATAAACATCCAATTTATCCTGCAGGAAAGTTTGTTTGGATAGTGGGTTATTTCCCCCACTATATTTGCTTACATCACCATTATAATTTTCAATACAGCTTGTTATCTTCCCAATTACCTTTTTTATCTCACATACATCACATCACAAAAAGTGCTAAGTAAAAATATCTCAAATAATTTACAATCCAAACAAACTTGATATTATAAGTTTAATACAGTTTCTCCTGGAATTAATGCCAACTCTGTTTCTGTTTCTAATTTCTATAATGCAACCGGTACCAAGATATTATAAATGAATACATTAAAGAATTTACTGCTCCATCCATCCCATTATGATAGTCTTGATTTTTTTCACGCAATTTAAGAAAAATAAAAATTAGTAAACTTTATTAGAAGAATAAATCTAACATACTATTTTCTTGAAATACCCTTATATTAATATTGTAATTTCTCTAATATAATCAAGAAATTAAAGTCCCTCAAGCAACCCACACACATGTGATACGTTTGTCCATTATCTTAGAGTTCATATTTATCAATTTTGTGAGCAAACTAGGTGAATCTACAAAGGAAGAAACACGAAAGGAAATCATTCGTCGCACTTTGACATTCTTTTAGATAGCGTAGACTAATGCGGACAAAATAGGCAATTAATACAAGAAGCAAAATGTTGCATCTTCCATTCTATTAGAAACCGAAAGAAACTACCAGTACTTGGTATTGTCCTCCATTAGAAAACCGAAACTACTGGTACTTGCCTTTGTCTGGCATTAGAATCGCGAATTGTATCATGCATTACTATTGCAAAAATTTTACTAGTTGACAAGGGATATTTTTGGAAAGAAAAATTTGTAACCTACATACAACAGAATTCGGAGTTCGATATAACTGCCGGGAGAGTTCGTAGGAGACGGATTTGTTTTTTTAATGAAGCAGCAAAATAAAATGTCAAAAAAATGAAACCGACCCCCCTGCCCCTGCAGAAGCAGTTTGTGCCATCGACTCTTACCTCCTCCCCATACTTGCAGTTTGACCGCATCGTTCACATCTGAATTGCATCGTTGCACTTGCACTCGCACTCGACAAGTGGAATAATTGGGCTTCACAATCCACAGCCGCAATTCACAAGGTCATTGGGCTTTTCATGCTAACTAGATTTTAACTCGTGCAATATGGTTTACGATTATGAAAAAATTTAATACTTTTAATAAATTAAAAATATATAAAACTATTAAATAGGGTTAAAATGAGGAGAAGAGAAGGATAAATTCGTTACCATACAAGTCCATCTTGCTTCCATTTTCACGCCATAATCAATTAATCAATGCAAAATTTTAAAAATAAATAAATAAGAACGAACTAATGTAAATTAGAAGAATTTACACCTGTATTGTGCATTTCAATGGTCGAAAGGTTAGACGTCCAAATGCAATCTTCTTGGTATAATATTAAACCTACATCAAAAAAAAAAGATTCGATAAATAAAGCAATTAAAAAGGCATGAAAAAAAGTAAGAACTAACCATGCATTCATAATAGTAAACAAACATACCACGCAAAAGTATTGCGTTCTCAAAAATCATTTTATACACCTAGAAAATCTAAAAGGGTGGTTCAAATATTTGTTAAATCTGCAGTACTCTAGCAATTACAAAATTGATGTATCAAAAGAATCACCACTAAATCGTGTCGTAAGTATGGGAGGGATTAGATATCTAAGTAGTTCTAGCTATAAACGATGGATACTAGGTACTGTGTAGATTAGATATCCCTATAGTCTTAACTGTAAATGATGGATATTAGGTACTGTACATATCAACCTATGTAATGTTGTAGATAACACGTTAAGTACCCCGCCTGAAAAGTATGTTC